CGCCCACGCACCTGCAACGAGAAGAAGAATGAGAAGAGCAACCTGACAGCGACAGACGCGACCCTCACCCGCCAATCAAATCACGAAGATGCCCATGGCCCCCGCCGACTTAGGGGCTACTCTTGAAGATTCGGAGCGTCGACGATGGCAGAGTGCGAGGTCATGGGTCCGCAGCGCCCTAAAAAGGCACCTGCTCTAAGTCATGGAATCGGCCGCGCGCGCAGAAGTCGGCCCCCGCTCGCCTGGCGCGATGCGCACCGCGCGACTCGCACGCGGCCCAAACGGGCAAGGAAGTCCGCAACCCGTGCCTTTTCAGCGTATCTGATTATCGAAGTCTCTTTTCGAGCCTGGGGAAGGTGACACATGCGTCCTGCTTGAGGTGCGCCGCCTGCGATGGGCGAAATCGCAAACCGAAGTCGGATAGCCAGCTGGCCAGTCTGGGCCCGTACATCACGCAACTCTGCCAGAGCGTTGGAGTTCCGCAACACGATCACATACATTCCTCCCGCAAGCAACGCACGCGCGCTTAGATGCGTCACGACGTCGAGCATTCGCCTGTTCGGCACGCACGGCATGCCGCACAAGGTAGAAGCGAAGGGAAGAGAAAGGCAAATGAGGGATGGTCACGTGGATGGGGAGCAGAGAAACATTTGATGGATGGAGAAAGCAAAAGGACAATGGATAAGTAGAGAACAGACATAAGAACCTTGACAAGAGGGGGACAATCGAAATATCTCTCCCGAGCAGGAAACGTTGAAGATCGGCGCGTTGACCTATGTGGGTGTGTCCACCGACGAAGGACGGGGAGCTGCCCACGTATGCAACTTCGTTAATTTAGCTTCCTGCCGAAACAATCGATGACGGTCACATGGCCCAGAGGACAAAGAAAACCCGGCGGATAACCCGAGCGGTATGATCGTACCAGAGAGCCAATCCGCAGATGCCCACCCCTGGGGGACAGCGCCCGCACTGTGACTCGGGATGTTCCCCAGAGACGCGTGCGCCTGAAGGGCAGCGCAACGTGAGGTGAGAGGTAGAGCTACGTATGCAAGTGTTGCCACCGGCCAGGCCTACACCATCGCACACACCACCACACCTTCTCGTCCCCCTCCCCATCCTTTTTCCCATCCCTGTCCTCCCCCCCCCCCGGGCGGCGGCGACGGCGACACAAAGGCGACGACGACGACGACGACGACTTCGACGATCACGACGCCGCCGCCGCCGCCGCCGACGACGACGACGACGACGGCGACGACGGCGGCGGCGGCGGCGGGCGGTGGAGACGGCCGGCGGCGACGGCCGCGACGAATGGGAAGGGGAGGGGGAGAGGCAGGACAGAAAGGAGGCTGAGCAGCAGCCAGAACCCCCTCGCCTGGAGGAGGGTTCACATGAAGCACCTCCCTCTTCTCCTCTTCTCCTCTCCTCCTCCTCCTCCTCCTCCTCCTCCTCCTCTGCTCCTCTGCTCCTCCTCCTCCTCCTCCTCCTCCTCCTCCTCCCTCCTCCTCCTCCTCCTCCTCCTCCTCCTCCTCCTCCTCCTCTGCTCCTCTGCTCCTCCTCCTCCTCCTCCTCCTCCTCCTCCTCCTCTCCTCCTCTCTCCTCCTCCTCCTCCTCCTCCTCCTCCTCCCTATCCTCCTCCTCTCCCTCCTCCTAATCCTCCTCCTCCTCCTCCTCCTCCTCCTCCTCCTCCTCCTCCTCCTCCTCCTCCTCCTCCTCCTCCTCCTCCTCCTCCTCCTCCTCCTCCTCCTCCTCCTCCTCCTCCTCTTCCTCCTCCTCGTCCTCCACTCCTGTTCCTTAAACTCCTCCGTGTCGCACCCCGAGGCGTCTGTAGGGCGAGCGGAGCGTTTCGCCCGAATTGTTCATTACCTATGACCCTGAAGCTTGACACTTGCACCAGTTCTGCGAATGGAGGGCGGGCCGTCTTCAAAATGGTGCAAGAGCTTCACGGATGGAGGGCGAGTCGTTTTCAAAATGTGGCTCTCGCCTTAGCGCCGCGCGCATTGGTTTTTAAAGTTGCCAGAGTTTCACAGGTACAGGGCGGGCCGCTTTCAAAATGAGGCTTTCGCCTGAGCGCCGCTCACATTCGTCTTTAAATATTGCAAGTGCTTCACGGATGGAGGCCGGTATCTCTTCAAAACGTGGCTCTCGCCGTAGCGCCGCGCGCATTCGTCTTAAGAGCGTCTAGCAGTGACAAAGATCACCATGGTAAGGTCCCAGAAAGTGCGTCTTGGAGCGATGAGGGACTGCCAGGGCGCAACACATATGCTTAATCGCGGTGTTAAAATCCTGGGAAATAAATTCCGGCACCATTCTAGGTCGTCAAGACGCAAGAATATGGTTGATTCGTGGCCTTGAAGTCCCAGGAATTGTGCTCTGTCATGGTTCAGGATTTTCAAACGGTTGTCTTCCAACGGGCCACTTCCCGCAGTGGAAATGAACCCCTTGAAGGGGCATATGAAGGAGGAGCTTGGAGGTAGGGTCTATAGCAACATCGTTGATGAGTCATTGGGTTTACACCAATCCTCTGCTCCTCCTCCTCCTCCTCCTCTTCCTCCTCCTCCTCCTCCTCCTCCTCCTCCTCCTCCTCCTCCTCCTCCTCCTCCTCCTCCTCCTCCTCCTCCTCCTCCTCCTCCTCCTCCTCCTCTCGCCTCGTCCTCTTCGTCCCCCACCCCCGTCTCGTCCCCCTCCCTGTCCCCCTTCTCCTCCACGTCTTCCACCCCCGAGCGGCGGTGGCGACAGCGACGGCAACGGCGACGACGACGCCGCCGACGCCGCCGCCGACGACGACGACGCCGCCGCCGGCGACGACGACGACGGCCCCGAGGATCACGACGCCGACGACGACGACGCCGACGACGACCACCACGACGGCGTCCGAAGACGACTTCGCCGACGCCTCAGGGGAGCCGTGCTGGGCGCCGCCCTGCGGCCCGCGGCCGCCGCCGCCCCCCTCGGCGGCGAGCGGCCCGAATTAACGGCGGCGAGCCGCTGCCCAGCGATGGGCGGCCCGCGGCTCGAGGACGGGGGCGGCGGGTGCACGGCGGGCGGCGCGCGAGGGCGAGTCGCGGGCCGCGGCAGCGTCCGCCGCGTCGTCCGTCGTCCGTCGTCCGTCGTCCGTCGTCCTCGTCCTCGTCCTCGTCCTCGTCGTCGCGTTCGTCGTCGTCGTCGTCATCATCATCATCGTCGTCCGCCTCCTCCTCCTCCTCCTCCTCTTCCTTCTCCTCCTCCACCTCCTCCTCCTCCGCCTCCGCTTCCTCCTCCTCCGCCTCCGCCTCCTCCTCGTCTCCGCCTCCTCCTCCTCCTCTCCTCTCCTCCTCCTCCTCCTCCTCCTCCTCCTCCTCCTCCTCCTCCTCCTCCTCCTCCTCCTCCTCCTCCTCCTCCTCCTCCTCCATCACTGTTGCGTATAAATCACTCCTCCCTGCCGTTCCCCCCGGTGTGTCGGTTGGGCGTGCCGAGCGGTTCGCCTGAAATCCGCCGACCCTGTTGGCGTGTGCGATGGGCTTCTCCGTTCGAGTTCTCGTCTTCGTCGTCTCCTCGTCGTCTTCGTCGTCGTCACAGTCGTCTCCTCGCCGTATCCGTCGTACCCCGTCCTTTTTTCTGGGCCCTCCTCAAGCGTGCCATCCAAAGCGAAATTGTACAACGTCGTATTGGAGTCGAAGGGAAGCCCCTTCCCTTTGATCCCTTCCCCGCGGGGGGGGGCCCGGGAGGGGTTCCACCGTCGTAACGGGGGCCTGCGTTTTCAATGTTTTTTTAAGGCAAATTATGAGTGAGACAGACGGGTTGTGTGAGAGACCAAAAATACAAACGGCTTCCTCGATTCTTGTCCAAATCTTCCACAGACGGATTCTTATTGAAATCCTCCACAGAAGGATTCGTGTTGAAATCGATCGCAGAAGGATTCTCATTGACATCCACCACAGAGGGATTCCTATTGAAACCCTCCACAGAAGGATTCCGTTTGAAACTCTTCGCAGAAAGATTATTATTGAAATCCTCCACAGAAGGATTCGTATTGTAATCGATCGCAGAAGAATTCTCATTGACATCACCACAGAGGGATTCCTATTAAAACCCTCCACAGAAGGATTCCTATTGAAACTCTCCACAGAAGGATTCTTATTGACATCCACCACAGAGGGATTCCTATTGAAACCCTCCAAAGAAGGATTCCTATTGAACTCTCCACAGAAGGACTCTGATTGAAATCCTCCACAGAAGGATTCCTATTGAACCAAATAAATCAAAGGCAGATCGCAGTAGAACCAAAAAAACAAGGAAAAACCAAACAAACCAAAGAAACCAAAGACCGACGGTTGAAAAACCCAAAACAAAAACAAAAAAAAAACAAAAAAAAAATTTCACTACTTACTCCACCTCCCCTCCTCGTCCTGCCCCTCCCCCTCCTCCTCCTCCTCCTCCTCCTCCTCCTCCTCCTCCTCCTCCTCCCCCCCCTCACCCCTCACCCTTCATTCCTCCTCCTCCGCCTCCTCCTCCTCCTCCTCCCCCTCGCTCCTCCCCCCCTCCTTGCCCCGCTCCAGGGGGGAGGGAGGAGATGGACGGGGGGAGGAGGGAGCGGAATGGAGGAGTGGAATGCGGAGGAAATTGACGAGGGCGATCATATTTCCCGTCGTCCTGCGCCTCCTCGTCGTCGTGATCCTCAATTCTCTTCTTCCTCTCATCGCAGAAGGATTCTCATTGACATCCACCACAGAGGGATTCCTATTGAAACCCTCCACAGAAGGATTCCTATTGAAACTCTCCACAGAAGGATTCTTATTGACATCCACCACAGAGGGATTCCTATTGAAACCCTCCACAGAAGGATTCCGTTTGAAACTCTTCGCAGAAGGATTCTTATTGAAATCCTCCACAGAAGGATTCCTATTGAACCAAAAGAACCAAAGAAATCAAAGACAGATCGCAGGAAAAAAAAAAAACAGGAAAAAAAAAAAAACAAAAAAAAAAAAAACAAAAAAAAAAAAAAACGACGGTTGAAAACAAAAAAAAACAAGGAAAAACGAAAACAAAACACAAACAAAAATGATTTCACTCCACCTCTCCTCCTCGTCCTCCTCGTCCTCCCCCTCCTCCTCCTTCTCCCCCTCCCTCCTCCCCCCCTCCTTGCCCTGCTCCACGGGGGTGGAGGAGGAGGAGAAGGTTGCTCCGGAATGAAGGGTGAGGGGTGACGGTTGGGGTGGGGTGAGGAGGCACTTCCCCATTCGATTCCTCCCCCACTCCACTCCTCCATCCCACTCCTCCGCCATTCCACTCCTCCATTCCGCTCCCTCCTCCCCCCCGTCCATCTCCTCCCCCCCCCTGGAGCAGGGCAAGGAGGGGGGGAGGGGCGAGGGGGAGGAGGAGGAGGAGGCGGAGGAGGAGGAATGAAGGGTGAGGGGTGAGGGGGGGGAGGAGGAGGAGGAGGAGAGGGAGGAGGAGGGGGAGGGGCAGGACGAGGAGGAGAGGTGGAGTAAGTAGTGAAATCTTTGTTTTTTGGGTATTGTTTTGTTGTTCCTTGTGTTGTTTTGGTGTTTCAGCCGTCGGTTTTTGGTTTCTTTGGTTTTTGTTGGTTTGTCCTTGTGTTTTTTTGTTTTTCTGCGATCTGCCTTTGATTGATTTGGTTCAATAGGAATCCTTCTGTGGAGGATTTCAATCAGAGTCCTTCTGTGGAGAGTTCCAATAAGAATCCTTCTGTGGAGGTTTTCAATAGGAATCCCTCTGTGGTGGATGTCGATAAGAACCCTTCTGTGGAGAGTTTCAATAGGAATCCTTCTGTTAGGGTTTCAATAGGAATCCCTCTGTGGTGGATGTCCATAAGAATCCTTTTGTGGAGAGTTTCAATAGGAATCCTTCTGTGGAGGGTTTCAATAGGAATCCCTCTGTGGTGGATGTCAATGAGAATCCTTCTGCGATGAGAGGAAGAAGAGACTTGAGGATCACGACAACGAGGAGGCGCAGGACGACGGGGAGTATGATCGCCCTCGTCAATTTCCTCCGCATTCCACTCCTCCATTCCGCTCCCTCCTCCCCCCCGTGCATCTCCTCCCCCCCCATGGAGCAGGGCAAGGAGGGGGGGATCGAGGGGGAGGAGGAGGAGGAGGCGGAGGAGGAGGAATGGAGGGTGAGGGCTGGGGGGGGGAGGAGGAGGAGGAGGAGGAGGAGGAGGAGGAGGAGGAGGAGGAGGAGGAGGAGGAGGAGGAGGGGGAGGCGCAGGACGAGGAGGAGAGGTGGAGTAAGTAGTGAAATCTTTGGTTGCTTTTTGTTGTTTTGGTTGTTCCTTGTGTGTTTTTGGTGTTTCAGCCGTCGGTCTTTGGTTTCTTTGTTTTTTGTTGGTTTGTCCCTGCGATTTTTTGGTTTTTTTTTCTGCGATATGCCTTTGATTTAAGTAGTTAAATAGGAATCCTTTTGTGGAGGATTTCAATCAGAGTCCTTCTGTGGAAAGTTCCAATAGGAATCCTTCTGTGGAGGGTTTCAATAGGAATCCCTCTGTGGTGGATGTCAATAAGAATCCTCATGTGGAGAGTTTCAATAGGAATCCTTATGTGGAAGGTTTTAATAGGATCCCTCTGTGGATGTCAGTGAGAATTCTTCTGCGATCGATTACAATACGAATCCTTATGTGGAGGATTTCAATAATAATCTTTCTGCGAAGAGTTTCAAGCGGAATCCTTCTGTGGAGGGTTTCAATAGGAATCCCTCCGTGGTGGATGTCAATGAGAATCCTTCTGCGATGAGAGGAAGGAGAGAATTGAGGATCACGACGACGAGGAGGCGCAGGACGACGGGGAATATGATCGCCCTCGGCATTTCCTCAAAACCTTGAAAACGCAGGCCCCCGCTACGACGGTCAAACCCCCGGGAGGTCCCGGGGGGCGTCTTTGGGGGGTCCCGGGGGGGGTCGCCACCCAGATTCATTTTCCCCCGGGCGGCCCCGACATACCGAACAGCCCCAAAAAGAACCCAGAATGCCGAAGATGGGCAACAGATGCCAACACTGTCCGCAAAGCAGTCTTGTCAGAGCCAATCTCTCTGGCTATCAGAGCTTCGATGCAAAGTGAATGTAATACGTCGCCATATTGGACTTGAAAATCGCGATTTACCAGTCGGATGATGACTTGACCCCTGTCGGGATCATTTCGTACAACTGGGAATGGTCCATTCCAGCCTCCCCAGTCGTCCTTTGTAGTTGTGGGACGATGATAGTCAACCAAATCTTCTTCATCGTAGCAACGCTGACCGGCGATAGTCCTCTTAGTACGTAGTGCACGGTTGGTCTTGGCTGCTGCAGTAGCCTGCGCGGTAGCTTCAATGCATACCCCTCGTATCACCTGTTCTCGAGAATGGTCAGACGTCTCTGCTGGCTGTTCGTGATCCAGAACAGGCAGGTCAGGAAGCATTGCCGGTTGCCGCCCAAACAGAGCACTCCATGGAGATACCTCATTGTGAAAGGTGAATGCATCGGCGGCAAACAGGGCTTCGTGCAGTAGTCGTATGAACACAAGAGGTACGTCCAACCTTGTGGGTTCAGTTTCCATGACATGAAGTCGATGACGTAACATGCCAATCCTGGCTTCAATTGTCGCAGCGCGTTGTCCACGCGCGCGCATCCTCAGCTCAGCGCCTTTTGCCTTGAGGACCGCCTTTGCAGTGTCGTTATTGAGGGCACCCTCCCCATCAGAGTACAGTACCTCAGCTGGTCCGAACTGCATCCAGCACTGATCATACGCATCTGAGATACTGGTCATTGGCTGATCTGGTATTGCTATTCCAATAGCATATCGAATACAACGATCAATAATGCGTCGATTTCTTCGTCGAAGTTGCATGGCAGCGCAGTAAATGGCACAACGGCATGCCCTAGCTTGTCCCAAGCCCTGCACGCCCGACATGTGTCACAGACGCCTTCGATCAGGTTGGGCCGAACGCTGTCTAGACCAGCCTTGGCTGAGATGAGACTCGCCTTAAGCGATTAAGCATGGAACCATCGCAAGTGTAGTTTCCGAATCTCGCGCGCTACCACGC